GAAATACGGCATTCAATCAGTTTCTGCCCATGTAGTCTCATTCTTGCGGAAGGAAGAAAATGGTACAGGGTACCAGACAACTCTAGCTGCGCCAGATCAGGATCCACCATTTCTTTAATAAAAGTTAACTAGCAAAAGAGTGACACTTAAAACGCCTTTCTCTGTACATCCCAGTTCAGTGTTCCCACGCTACTCAGTTCTTGTACAAAGGAGGGCGAAACGAATGTCACACTTTTAGTTCAGCAAGAATAGTAGTGGTAGCCATTTTAGCCTGCTGCGTAGCGCCGCCATATACCCATTAGGTACCCCAAACTCTTTAGTGGGGCTAACCGGCCATTGAACTCGGCCATCGATTTGCCTTATATGCACCAGTTGTTGCTCTATTACGACAGACTAAGCTTCTAGCGATAGAGCTAAACTCCTCTTTTTATTATGAGCTTTTTCCTGCCGAGGATTACGGTAATACATCAGTTTCTGCCCCTTTAGTCTTATTCTTGCCTCAGTAAAAAACAGTCCAGCGTAACCTAATAACTTTAGCGGCCAGATCAAGATCCACCATCTTTCAATAAGCAAACTAGCAAAAGAGTGACACTTGAAACGCCGTCCTCAGTAGGTACTGGACACGTCAGAGTTCACCAATAAAGTTCCCTCGGTCCTTCTTTCTCTTTTCCTTTTTCCTCTTTGGGAAAAAATGATTAGCCATTTCTGGTTGCCGCCTTCTGAACATTTTCATCAGCGCACCCTACCCCCGGTCAGGAAGTAGTCGCCCACGTCAGGCTGCACTTGCGCCAAAGTATGAAACGGCCAGTGGGTTGTATCACAGCGTCGGCAATAACCTGCTGATAGACTTGAAATAGCCATATATCGCTAGGTTGTTTTGGACTCTATGAAATAGCCCATTTATGACCCAGTGCATGGTCTTGTAGATAATTCGTGCCAGTGTGCAATGCTCCAAACATGGTCGCAATACCAGGGCAGAATGGTATGAATGCAGCAACTGGAAATCGCTTCACGCACCTTACATTTACAAAACACTACTGCTTGGTCGGCAAGAACAGAGCAGCCTGAACCGGTGCATCCAAAGTTCAGCTTCCGTCAACGTTTAAGGCTATTACGCATTGTAGCTTGTCAGCATTAGCTGCTGGGGTGGACGACTGCCCCGAAAGTCCAAAATAGCCTGTCAAAGATTTCTTGTCCGTAAATCAACTACCAGGCGAATGAAGTTATGGCGTTACAGTACTCCTGTCCAATCCAACCATTCCAAGATATTTAAAATGCCACCATTCCCGGAGCACAAGACACCTTCAGACCACTTTGTAATTTTAGCGTTGAAGATTATACGATGGATCCAGTTACCCCACCCAGGAGGCGTGATAGGACACGGGACAACCTGGTGAGAGCTATCCTTCGCACGCTTCGAAGATGCGACCAGCTCAGCCGCCGCTACAGCGCTGATGTCTATATACTCGTTCGGTGGAAGAATAAGCACTATGAGTATTGCTCTACGGATGAAGCAGCATTTCCGATCCCTTCAACGGACCTAGTAAGTGGAGTAAAAGAGTTATGCCACAATGGGAAACTAAGAGGCTTGAAGGACAAGGTCTATCCCCCTGTACTCAGGAGGACGCCAGGAGATTTTCGAGATGGGCATCTAAAACATGCAAATTGCTGAAAACGATAAAGCTTTGGGTATTGTACAGTATCCGTGACGAATTTCAGCTATTCTGTTATATATTTTTCTTTCGAAAACCATGGACGGCCGTGAGAAGATTCGGCTAGGATGTAGAGGATCGAAAATACAGTACTGTACGTACCAAACCAAACTCGTTATAGGTGTCGCTTGCATTTGGTCAATTTTAGTTACTTGGCGGGTAATTAGAGTCGCTATTTTTGGATCTCTAGGCAGCAGCCAAAATAGTATCCACTAAAGTTATTGTGCCAAACCGCGACACCCTCAACGATCCTTACTAATTCGCCAGCATCGGCTACATGAGGGAGGTGAACGGGCGGATGACGCAGCTTTTCCGGTCCGACCCTTGGACTTTGGATTCAGAATTGAAATTCAACCGCTGGCTAACTCTTTGGAGGACAAAGTTTACCCCCCCCCCCTCCCGGGCCGTCATGAGGAGTACGCCGCTGGATTTTCGAGATGCTGGCCTGAAATTTACAAGCGCAATGACTGGGAGCAGTTCAACACGCAAGGCCTCACTCAATTCTACCTGTACGAGTTTTCTCGCGCACTCAACTATGTATCTACCATTGACATAAATACCAAAAATATCAGAAGTGCGATTTGTTTACCGATGACGCAGTGACACCGCACACCGGCCAACAACACCAATTGCGCAAATGCGCCTAGCAACCCCACCTCTCTTAAAGACCAAATAAGGAAAAAGGAAACAGACAAGAAAAACCAACAAGCACTTGACCGCAGCAGAGAAGCGAGATCAAATGCAATGGAACTATGCTAGATACGAGGTCACGCAGTTCAAGCAAAACCCCATACCTCTGCATGACATGTCATATCCGCGCATCACTCTCTTCAGAAAGCATCCGAATGCCCTACTGGCGCGGTAACAGATTTGGTGAAACCTTGCCTTGCGCATGCAGACCTGTGATGCAGAAGATATTGCGCTTCTTGGCCAGCGACACGGACAAATTCCTCGAAAGGGCGAATAGCGCAAAGCGCCCGAACCGCAACTCTCCACATGCAAGGCGACTTGGTGCCACCATCGTTCAACTCCCATTCCAGAGACACATTTGCATTACTCCCTGGAGCCACCACTTTGATCTGGTTCATGACCCCGCTTACCTGAGAATAATCTAGCCACAGCTTTTCTGTCGGCCCACGAATGCCATGTGCATCGTCAAAGTCTTCCGAGTACCGAAGATATCCTGTGTAGACGCCGAGAAAGTCGCCCTTTTTTATAGTCATGATAGAGCACACAGAAAGAAAATTCTCGTCCTGAGGAACCAAAATAACATATATAGACTTGTTTCTGCCCGTACCTACCCCGGTGCAAAGATCGGGGATCCCCACCATGTCGTCGCTCAATGCCGACAGGGTTGACGTCGAATGAAAGGCGGCTTTTTCTTCAGCCGAGCACCAGCTACTTATGAAACCATTCCATGCCTTTTCCGGCATGTTGTTGAGTCTCTCTGCCACGTGATTCTTCGTTAGCCATAGATGTTCCGTAGAGTTCCCCTTGGCTTCTTCTACCGCTCGGGTCTCTAGATCCGCTATGTGCGGTCCATAAACCTTCTCCCATGAGAAAACCCTGTCGACCAGCGGGACGGTGTCGTGTTTGGGATTTTGTTCGCATATGTGGTCGAGTTCTCGAGTGCGGTAGAGAATGAGCTTATTGACGCCAGCTTTTCGCATATCGGAAAGACTTTTCCAAACGCGACGGCGCAGGCGCTGATTCTCAGAGCTCGTTCCGATGCCAGCCTGGTCCATGAATATCTTGCTCGCACGCTTTTCCAGCTGAGTGAACTCGTCACTGGGTCCTCCATGATTCTTCAAGGTCGATGAATCGAGATACTTTGCCTTCTTTACTATTATGTCCCAGTAAAAGGTTTCGTTGTATCGGACTTGCAGATCTTGACTGGCCGCCAGTGCTCTGCTCTTCTTAACCGCGTATACGGCCTGATCGTACTCGGGATCAACCATGTTACTCGCGTAACGTCGAATATTTTCCACTATGGTCGTCACTGTTGTTTCCCCAGATTTGTATCTCGCAAACTTGAAATTGACTTCAACGCAGTGCCGGAGTATCGTTTCCACAGCTCCGAGCGCCGCCGCGGAGCCAAAAAAATCCAGTACGGACGAAGTAACAGCGAAGGCATCAACAGAGTCAGCTGCACTAGGAGGCTGAGTGGTAATACTGACAGCTGCATTGCTGCTGCCCAAACTTTCCAATGGAATACTTCCCTCCATGACTGGTAGTTTTGCTGAGATAGCTTGGTCTGGCCCGGCCGTCTCCACAGCGACGGCTGTTGCGAGCACCGTGCCTCTTCGTAGCTTGTCATCTGCTAATACATTTGCGCCTGTTGTTGGCTCATTCGTATTTCTGCCGGCGGCAGACGGCTTACTCTGCGCCACTCTGCGCCTGTTTTTCTCTGGCCGACGATCTAATCCTGCGTAGTCGACCTGGCATCGCTTTGCAGCTCTGGTAAGCACTCGAGTAACACACGCAGGAGGCTCCTTCCCCCCGGCGCGGTGCATTGAATCCCGCACTGAGTTCTTAGCATTTGACACTGTGAATCGAACAGCAGACTTACCAAATTTGGAGATACCATTAACATGCTGTAGGGGAAGCTCCGTGTTTTGACTTCGTATCCCGACCAGAGCCAGCAACTCGCGAATCTTCCGTTCTGTCAGCGCACGTATTGCTTCATCCATGGTTAGTGGTGCGGGCTGAAAGCAGGACAGCGTTGGCTGTTCTATTAATACGCCTCTCCCCGGCGTTAGTGCCTTCTAGCACCATCCATACTTTCGCTTCATGACTCCACTACAAGGCCCACCATCGTTACCTCTTTACGAGAGTTACTCAACATAGCAAACCATTACCAAAGATGTTATCAGAGATCACGGTACGCAGGTGAGTACTATTAGCTTGTTCAAAGCTACTCGACTATGTTTCGTGTCACTACTCTTGGTCATTGAAAAAGGGTAGGCCAGCTCTGTTCACGGCCAACACTACATCTCCAGATCAGGGCTTCGCACGGCGCCACCGATGTCATCAGTGAATCGTTACTGCACTCCGCCACTGCGCCTGCGTCGACCGCGTCGAGCGTCCTGCAGGTGACATTTTATTGTTCGCAGGTTGTCTAGCATATTCGTAGCGCCTGCCTGGACCACAATGGAGAGCACTCCAGTATCCACTGGGAGGCCCACTATGGCCAGCCAGGTAATAATCGCCAACGCCCTTCTTGTTTGCTTTTGACTGACCGAGAACTGCGCGAATTTCGATCTCCAAAGTTACAGATAAACTTGATAACTATGTATTAATACTACACTTGCTTCTATAGTCTTATTATTATGTAGCAGCGCAGAAGAATTCGCAGTAACAGAGATAACTGCCCTGGAAAACCATGGCTTTACACTGATGGCCGCATTGCTGATGCCTGGGCTCATCGGACTAATTCTCCCCATTCTTGGTGATTAGGCTATCGCTCTGGACCAGTCTCCACAGCGACGACTGTTGCGCCAATCGCATCTAATCGCAAACTTGAAGTAAGGCACCACTATAGATCTACGTAACTTGACGGCTCTATGGGTTTGTCACGATCGCCGGCCAAGTGGGACCAAAAAGCCGTTGAACACCGACGGAGGTAAGAATGACACAAACAGGAAAGCAGCAACCACTGGTCGCCGGACCAGCGCGCGCTAACCGCCACCGACGCCATTACTGCCCTGTGCCTGCACCCCAAACTTGTGTTTGGGGCTGTGGCCGAACTAATGCCATCCTTGCAACGGACATATCATTGAGGCATCGACTGCGGACGTGACAGAAACGTTCAGCATATGCGTCGCACCTGCCTGGACCAATATTCCTCATATTTAATGAAGGTTATCGGGAACTGCCTACGCAGATGGAATAATGCGCTCAGTTCCAGCCTTGTGCTGTGCTGTTTGCCAATTGCCCACTTTACAGGTTGTTTGCGCTTGTCTTGTCACATTACGCTGATTGGCGTGCCTGAGCATTCCAGTATCCATTGGGAGACCCACCTGGACGAGGGCTCTGCATCCCCAGTGCCCCCGACATCTCTCAGCGCCGCCCGTGGCCAGGCATTCAAAGTGAGAGATCAACATGGCCCGCCACTAACTGCTGGGCACACTTGTCCAAACATTTTTAATGTAGCAATCGCCATCTTAAGTATTGTTTGGTGCATAATCAGATTCATCCCCTCACTTACACTGTAGAAGAAAAAAAGGTAGGCCCACTAGCCTGTTGCTTAGCATGATGGTGAATGACGCTCCTGAGCATGAGTGATTTGACCGACAAATCACTCCGCCGTCGGTCAAATCAAGGCACCAGTCACCGGAGCTACGTCTTCTACTGGGTTACCTGTACACCAGTCACCCCATCACGCTCAGATTTCCTTGAGTGTCGGAACCAGGCTTCACTAGCCTACAATTTGTATCCGGCACGAGTTTTTGTACACATTACTGGACGGCGGTGGAGAAGTCCCGGGAGTGGATGAGCCCGGGAGTGGATGGGTCCCGGGAGTGGATGAGTCCCGGGCAAAGATGAGTCCCAGGAGTGGATGAGTCCCGGAAATATATGAGTCCCGGGAATATTTGAGTCCCGGAAATATATGAGTCCCGGGAATATTTGAGTCCCGGGAGTGATTTGCGTCCCGGGAATATATGAGTCCCAAGACGGATATGTCCGACACAAAGAACTAGGCGACTAGATTCAGCTGCGTCAAACGTCAGCTTTTAGCAAATTTATGCGAATCATTGTCAGTTGATGTATTAAATATATCACCCTGGCATTTGTATGCCGCGAATAGCTCTATGTATGCTAAGCTCGCGCTTTCTACGTCGCTCAGCAGCCCGCGGGATTTTCGCTGCTGCCTAGCTTTGCCTCTAGCTAGATACAGCGTACTAATTGGCTGTGCATGCTTTGTACCGCTATTTTGCCGCCTCTCTGGTTGCCGACACTGGCACTCGTATGCTTCGCAAAAATTAAGGTTGTGTGCTGTAAGGTTGGTCGGGTGTCGGCAAAGGAGCGCTGGCTCGGGCAATCTGCTGGTGGCTGCCAGCCAAGGCACATCCGCACTTGCTGAAAGTTAAACCTCTTCAGCGTAGTATGCGATCAAACTAGATGGGGCCCGTGGCGGGGCTCATGCGCATCAGATCAAAAAAGCCGACCCTCGATCAAATCGTTCAATTATCGTGTTTGTGACTGCGCCGGCTCACCGTTCGAAAATTATTCCCGCGTAGCACATTAATACCCCCAGCCCCGGCTGTAACTGCGGACCATATGCACCAGGATTCCTACGCCATGGAGCAAAGGCAAGGCAAGGTATGGTGCGTAGTTTGAATTCTTTCGCAAGGATGCGCCACCCACTTGTTGCCTTGAGGCAAATGAGCAGACTTGCAGACCAGCCGTTTGTTTCAATCCAACTGCGGCTTAAGGTTATCATCCAAACTTGGCGTTTATGTGACGAGAATGCTTGAAAGAAAGCCTAGCATGTCTATTTTCGCCTCCTATTCAATGCACCATGCTTTCGGGTCCTCTTGCAACAGCGCATGGGTCTATCGTTAGCATTTTCAGGCTAGGCAGCCGGCGGCAAGAACTGGAGCCGCTGAATTTTGACATAGACAGGGGTCACTGCTGCCGAAGGTACAAAGAAAGGCGTTTAAGCGTCACTCTTTTGCTAGTTAACTTTTAAGGAAATGGTGGATCTCAATCTGGCCGCTAGAGTAATCTAGTACCCTGTACTATTTAGGTTTCTACTCTATCGCCGAAAGGTATTTTATCGTAATAGAGCAACAACTAGTGCAATATGGCCAACTAACGGCTGAGTTTCATCGCAAATTTACCCCACTAAAGAGTTTCGGGTACCTAGTGAATATCCGGCGGCGCTACGTCACAGGCTAAAATAGCTGCCACTATTATTCTTGTTAATTAAAAGTGTGACATTTGTTTCGCCCTTCTCTGTACCTGTACAGAAGTATCATCCTGTTATGGGTAGCACTCGTCTGTAGTAATTTTGGTGGGAGGACAGTTTTGGATGACTGAGTTCTTCGAAATACCCGGGGCCCCCCAGCCACGAAATGCCACTGTCCCCAGTGACTTCCCTTTCTTAGGTACTATGCTCGATGTACCCCCAGCATTACCACTTCGTCCTTTTGGATCAGCAGCCTGCAAATGATCTCTGCCACGTTGCCAACAAGATGCATCTGGGTGCAACCGAAGAAGGACAAACCTCCCGTATTTCCTGCATTAACTTGTACATCAACGAGAGGCCGTTTTGAAGACAATGGACGGTAAGGAGATTTCTGTCTGGGAGATCAAGCTTGACGTTGGACAAACTAGGTACGCAATGCACGTGCACCTCCATGCTGCGATGCCTGGTTGCGGACTGGGCCAGGCCTCTCCGGCTTGTAATCCGGAAGATTACGCTCCGCCTCGCTTATCCAGCAGTCCCTTCGAGCAACTGTGAAAGAGTTGATATATCATTCTTGCTGGTCCTGATTTACAGATCTACCACGCGTAATCATTCATCGCTTGAACGGAACGGCCTCGCGAAATCAAACACCTCCCTTGCACTTCAGGCGCTCTTTGTTGCGCGTCGGCTGCAGGTAGCGGGTGAACAATACGACCGTCATCGCACTCTTATGCTATCTGCATCACGAGAAGCCGACCATTCTCTCCGATATACCACAGCCGAGCTGCAACGTACCAATCTGCAGCTCTGGCGAAGCCGTGAATGCCACCACACGCTGTACGATTGCGGCATCTTGATGTTCTTCAAAGGTGCCGAGCAAGAAGCGTTGTCTATCTCTATGCCTACGAGATCATTGACCGATGCCGAAAGCTCAGGACAGAATTGTGCGGCCAGACCCTTCAATCAACCCACCATGTCACAAGGAATAGCAGAACAGATGACGGCTGCTAGAGGGCCAACGACGGGACGCTTCGTGCAACTTCTTGTGCGATGCATCCGTCGTCGTTCCGGGATAGCAGAAAGCCAAGTTTGTAGTAAGCCAAAACACTGACAGAAGGCATCCGGCCGGCCATCCCTGCTCTGATCGGCGATGTGATTATCGATGCTTTGCGTTCAATCAAAGAGCTGTCGCACGTTGGACTTGTAGATGTACCTTCCAGATTGCGAAACGCAGTAATAGTAGCACGCAAGAGTGCCCAAAGCATGTTATCGAGACTTACTATCGAAGTGCAGCCGCACCAAAACCAATAGCAGCCATGTGGTGACGGCGGCTTGAAGCAAAATGCGCTTCGCAGGGCAGCGTTTCGTGCCTTTCACGTACTGCTCAACGCTCTGCGGACCCAGTCGGGTAAGGCGACCAATGAATTATTCTCAGTAAGCGCCAGACCTGTCTCCTTGCAGAATGCAGAAGACAGACCCCAGGCACAAGCCCAGAACTGAGATCGCGACCTAGCGGTTTATTTTAACATACGGGTAATGCGCAGCGTGATTATTTATTTTAACAGAGATGTTTTTCATAAATACCTCTATGCCACTCTTGGTCTCCAAGCCTCCGCCAACAGTTATGATGGAGCCCACGCTGCTTTGCCGTCGTTCTTCCCGGCTTCGGCCCACAGACCCTATCTGCAGTTCCCCAATGGAGATCGATAGCCCTACGTTTCCAACAGTTTTAGCCGCACATGGTTCGATTAAAAGTTGTTCGCCCTGCCGCTCACCAATGGAGATAGATTCCCCATGGTTCAGTCCAATATACTGCCCCGCTCCATATCGCGACCATTGCATTGTGAGGAACCAAGATGCTACGGCAGCACAGGGAGGTCCTGCTGCTGGGGCTTTCCTTGGACAGCCTCTCTTTAAAACAGCGATGCCCCTTGCCACTCCAGAGGTGCCAGGCGGAGAAAATCTGCCTTTCAGTTCCTGCTGCCAAGCGGAATCAGCGGTCAAGCCAACGAGTCGCTATGGTAGTTGTTCCCCATACTTACGAGCTGTACTTGGCTAATGGTTATCGGCCTATAGAACGACCTACTACCAGGCCATCATTGCTTATGAGGCGGAAACGTAAACTTCGAGAGAGGAGAAGAGTCAATGCCGGCCGTAACTTGCCAGTACATAAGGCAACCTACGTCTTTGTTCCAGGCGGGAGCCTAACTTGCATCGGCATTGAGTGGTTGGAAGGTCTCCCTATTGCAATTCAGTCGGGTTCATGCCATTGCCACAGCCGCACATGCGTTTTTGAGAAATGGCAGTAGAAATTGTTAGAGAAATTAATTTTATCTATACTTTTTTCCGGTTGTTGAATTGGGCTTTTTTTTTCTCAAATTTTGTCCCAACAGTGATTGGCATGATGGGTTTGTTTAAGAAGCCATCGTTTGTGAGCTTCACAGGGCGCCTAGTGACCTTTCAGCGTTGACGTGTCAGGTCGTGGCCACCTCCGTAGGCCCGGCCCAGGGAACCAACTGGAACAGTACTGAAGCCTTCCACACACGGATGCTCAGCAAATTTGCGGGGCGCCATATTGTACAACTGATTCATGATTCATGGCCGAGTGCTGTGATACATTTCGGTCTTGCGGATAACATCATGCACGCACATCTAATAACTGGTTACAATCACGAGCTGTTTCTTCGGACACAGTATAATTCCCAGCGGGCTCACATTCACAAACTGTTGCTAATCAATCAAACATGCTTTCAGCCCGTGATAACGGGCGCCAAATGAGTTCACCACCGGGGTTGGCGGCGATAACCCGCCAAGGTTTTTTACTGCCTGTGGTCAACCCATGCTGTCACGTTTTCTGTTTGCGCTTGAAATTCTTTTGTACCTGAAGCGCCATACTGACGTACATCTTATGACATATATTGGTCGAGCTTCTTCCTGGAACATCATCCCTGCGGGATCCATCTTTGAGAGAGGGGTGGTCAGTCCGTGGCGTTCACGGTTAACGAAGGGTTATGGTAGAGCGCTTAAAATATACGGCGCAACCCGTTACTGCTCTGCTTTCGGGCCAGGTCATGCAAGCGTACTGTGAGGTGAGTCAGTAGAATACTGTATGATTTGTTGATTGGGCTCACCTTTTTACCGTGCAGCCTGGGCGAAGGAGCAAGCTCACCTACTTAAAGGCCACCGCTTTCCTCCTCCTCTTCTCGCCCTCGAACTTCCTCATCATTCACCTCTCCTATCTCAACCCCTTGAGTTTACCAATAGCAGCAAAACATTTCACTTTGCAACACGGACCATTATGTGCAACTTGCTCATCGAACAAATGCAGGAAATTTTTGGTCTCTTTAAATAAACGCTACTGGCTTCGTTCGGCAGGCGCACATTTCATTCAGTTCTAACGCATTGCATCTCAATAAAACGCTTCTCCGTCCAATCGAATATGTTATCGTACTTGAATCCACGAGTTGAGAAGGCGTGGCGGAACAATCGGCGTAGGTAAGCGTAATCGGGTCTGTCCTTGAATCCCAATGACCGAGTGTAGCTAACATATGTCGCAAACTCCCCGGGAAGGCCCTCGCAAAGCTTTGTCACCGATAAAGTTAGCTTTTTCCGCTTAATCAGCTCATCCTTTTGTCCCTCAGTAGCTGCTTTGAGTCCCTGCCAAGGCAGCGAACCACGGGCGAAATACAGCAATACATAGCCCAGCGACTCCAAGTCATCCCCCCAGGACTGTTCTATAATATAATTAGAAAGCGGCGGCAATAAGGGCTACGCAGAACGCACCTCGTCCATTGTGATTGTTAAGACTCGCGTATCGCTGAGTGCCACCAAACGGGCGGCCTTGCATAGTCTGGAAACGCTCAGCATTGCAGAACTCCTTGGCCAAACCGAAGTCAATAGTGTATAATAAGTTTCCTTTGGTCCCAGTTCCCATCAGAAAATTATCTGGTTTGATATCACGATGCAGGAACCCCTTGTCGTGAATGTATTGGATTCGAGAAATAGCCTGGTCGGCTATGAGGAGGACCGTCTTGACCGAGAATTGCCGGTCGCAATAGTTGAAGAGATCCTCGAGGGATGGTCCAAGAAGGTCATGGACCAGGGCATAGTAGTCGCATTCTTGGCCAAACCACCGAACTCGCGGTATTCCGACGCCCCCAGAAAGCACCTGGTAGGTGTCTGCCTCGGCTTTTAAAATTTCGGGGTCGGTGTTGACATGCGCAAGTTTGATGGCAACTTCGTTGTTAGATTGAATATCGGTTCCTGGCCACGTTAGAACTTGTGCGAAGTGATGAAGCGGCGAAAACACCGTCGTACCAGCATAGACGAGACCAAACCCGCCTTCACCAATTTTATAGTCGATGCGGTATCGTTCATCAATGAGAATGTCCTGATAAAAGCCACAAGTCAGTCAATGCAGTTCTGTTCGTAGTCAGCAAACGTTTCGTACTTTCATTTTCCGCGTCCACCGCCATATTGGCGGTTGAAAATGGAATGTGAATGGGAGAGGCAGGTCCTTGACTGACGATTCTGCCGGTGGGGAAAGGACACCCAGGCAGAAAGCTAGCTCCGAACCCACCACAGTCACCCCGACCCAGCCAGATCGTCTCCTCCACCGTGAATTACACATGTTTCCGTGACCTGCACTTGTCATCCAACGATTTCTGACCAAACAATGTCCACTCTGATGCAGTACGCCCCAGACCTGATTCTAGCTTACGAGCCATTCGTCACCCGACCCGCACCCAGCAAACCACGTTCTCCCTCGCCCTATCATTTCGTCCTTCTACGCGCCGACCGTTTCTGCAAAAGCTGGCGCTGTTCACGCCAACTCATCATTACCAAATGCCTTCCCCCTCTTCCAGCTCTGAGCAGCAGTCTGTGTCCAACGTGCAGAATCGCAAACGGCCGAACCCATACGATACCACACAACACAGTCCTCCTGCGAAGAGAGTCAAGTCGACCTCTGCGTTGCAAATAGCCTCGAACTTTCCCTCTCAATTCTGGGACAGCCTGTCAAAAGTTTGGCTTACGCCTCGAGCCCTACGAGAAAAAGACCGGCGAAACGGCGCACAACCTCCTGCTCCGGTCTCGGCAGCTAGCGTAACACCGACAACTCTCGCTCGATTTGCAAGACGCGGTGGACCAGATCTTGGCTATCTTCGAGGAGTAGGTCCGATACCAATCAGTCCACAAAGCGATTACTGATGTCTGGCTAGTATCCTGAACCGAAAGACACCGCACGAATGAGCTCCAATCGTTCCTCCGCACCGTCAAGCCGACGGACACAGTCCACAAAGGCGACAACTGTTTCCTCGAAAGCCAAGCGATCGTCTGCCTATGACAAAGATTTCGAGCAGAACTTGATCGACAATAATATCTACCCCGAGGGGTTCGAACACCGTGATGGGCGCTCAACACCTGAACCCAATAATGTGAATGAGATTGTTAAGGGCCTGGCCCACCCGCGTGCATCACTTTCGCCATCTCAATTCTCCGCCTCGGCTTTCAAAAGCTTCAGGCTGGCCAACAGCCGTGTGATTTCTGAAGGCAAGGTCATGGCCGACATACTGCCAACGATACGTGGCAACAGCGAGATTCCAAACGAGGGGAACCTTCCTTTCGGCAACCTCGAGTCAATAACCAACGGAACTACAGTAGACGCAGTGCCTGACTGGTACGACGGATCGTACCCGAAAGATATCAATAGGACGGTCCGACAAGAGCTGTGTAAGACGATCGTACCCACGAGTCACGGGCATGCTCCCGCCGCACCAAATTTCTTCGTGGAAGCCAAAGCACCACGCGGTGGCGCTGACGTGGCGAAGCGGCAGGCGTGCCTCGATGGGGCCGTCGGGGCTCGTGCTATGCACAGTCTGCAGAATTATGGCGAGGATGAGCCAGTCTATGACGGCAATGCCCGCACATTTAGCTCTACCTACCATGCTGGCACCGGCACACTTCAGTTGTACGCCCATCACGTCACTGGGCCGAGGGCAGGGGAAGAGCCACCGGAATACCATATGACTCAAATTGACAGCTGGGGAATGACCGGTAACATTGACACGTTTAGACGGGGGGCAGCTGCATTCAGGAATGCCAGAGACCTTGGTTGCCGACATCGAGAGACTCTCATTCAGGCAGCCAACGGTAGGGTTTCGCAAGTGCTAGGGACTCGAGCGGGGAATACGAACCAGATTTGCGAAAACACCGCGCTGCATGAAACTGCGTCTCAAGTCGAAGCGGCGACATGGCAGGATTCACACGATGAGCTTCAACAACACATTACCAAGTCATTTGTTGAAGACGACGAAGACAATGGCGAGGCACCCACCACTCCCGAGCATCATTACGCGTCCGACGAGCCAGAGGAGACGGACCGAAACACGGCAGGACCAGGGACGGCTGATCCATCGATGAGCTTCGTGTCGAGTTTCACAAATTTAAGCACAGATACCTCGCGACCAAAACGTGCCCGAGAGTCATTTAGCTCCCCTACACAAGGCCGACGCTCATCGAAGAGCCGTTCACGAGCTACCGCAAATCGGCCACCAGTTGTTTCGGCCACAACTACTGCACAACCACCCGAGCCACGTGATCCATGTGTGTGATATTGCGTTTTCACGAGTTGTTTGAAGGGAAATATGAGTTGACCTGCTTATATTGGAGAAGCCCAACGTAAGAACGAGAGTTCTCGATGCAGGAACTGTCAAGGAACCCGTCAGCGCCGACGAAGGAGAGACGTTCTCAGTTTGTAGTTGTCATGCATTACGCTCTCGTATTAACCATGGTTTCTTGCGTTATCCTGACGTGGACAACCCCGCCGGAAAGATAGATACATAGCGATGCTTGTGAATATTCCCAAGCCCTCCTGAAAGTGTAGGTGTCTGCCAGTTATAGTTGACTACCATTTCGCAGCGTACCAATTCAGCTATTCCGTCTTTGCCACGATACCATCTTTATCGCATGAGGTTATTCTCCGGCGTGCGCGTGTCCAAGTCTATTGTCCAGGTGGTGGTACGACGGTTGCGTGATCGATTTCGATCACCATCACGCGGCATCGCTTAACGTTCCAGAGCAGGTTAGTCTCACGTTCGTCTAGTGGCTCACACCATTCTCATAGATCGTTTGTATGGGTCGCTGCACTTCCCATTCTAGATTTAACGACGCCGGATCCATCGCCACCAAACCAAATGTAGGAGCCTAGGTGATTTGGTTGTCGTTCGCCTGAGTGGATCCGAGTGCGTTCTGGAAAACTGTCCCACACCAAAAAAGAGACGCCAGAAATACTTTCCAATGCTGTACTCTTCCCCGAAGACTGGTCGCCGCACATTTGGGACAGAGATATGTAGTGACCGAAACCTTGGGAGCGGAGCGAGTTCACGGCGTCGAGTAGGTGCAGCTGCTCTCTGGAACATAACTACTCCAGGCCCTGCGCTGTACGCGACTTCGTTGCCTCGCTCATCGACGAAAAGGTTCAGTTGTGGTTTCTTCCGCAATGGTGCGAGGGGTCTGATTAAGTATACCTAAGCGAGTTAGGCGGCGTTCTGCTCTCTGCAGTCCACTGCGCCGGGAATCACAAACAAATGAGTGGACGCTGGGGAAAGAGGAAATAAGTGAGACAAAAGGATGCCGGAGTCTGACTCGATTGGCTGACCAGGTTCAAACGACAGCAACGCTGCAGCTGCTGAGCCGTAACCATCCTACAGCTACCTAATGCCTTCCAGCGCATGCAGCCACATTGGCCGGGCATCGATACATGCCCAATTCCATTCAGCGCAGCTTTACCATGCTTTCGCGCATTTCGAGTGAATTGATCCTGACGCGCCGCTGGAAATTCGGGCATACCTTACTGTATTCCCTCCAGCTTTACCTCCCGATGCACTGCGTCGCAATCTGGGGACTCAGTGAGATGACTACGACCTCGAAACGGATGACTGGGCAAACTATGTCGCCACTGTACGAAAGGACCTTTTATACAGACTTGGTCCGCCTCTGCTCATAACACCGTGTTGCGGCTCGCCCGCGGCTGCATGGATCGAGCTTGAGAGAATGATCTCACTGTTGGCAGCCGTTAAGAAGCGTGGAAGAACCATGACGCCGGAAGAGCGACTTGAGGTCTTTAGCGGAAACGGGCGCTTGAAGCCGGTTCCTGAGAGCTGTTGCGCAAGCGCAAGCTGCTTTGGTCCATCCAGTGTCGACCACAAAGAAGCAGTGACCAAGACACCGGTTGCTTTCTTGTCAGCATTAGAGAGAGTATTGATATACCATACAGGGCACCTTGTTTTCTGAACAGTCAACCTTTTTCTAGGCGCTCCAATAGGCCAAGGTATCCCACACAATGGCGCCATTATCGTCCATCAATGCGTTCCCGGAACTATCGGCCCAGTAAAACGCACCAGAGTCACAGTGCAGCCGACGCTGGTACCCCCACGGCCTGTCCGTCTCCGTGCCGTTAATCTTCCACACAGGCACGCCGTTGAAGAAATAACGGCGGTGCGCGGTCACGTCGTTGAGCTGCAGGCCTGGGTTAGCGGTGCATCCCTGGCAGCGGCGGAAGCCCTGGACTAGGAAGCGGTAGAGGGCGTAGCGGAGCGGGGTGCCGCCAACGTTGGCACGGGGGATGACCCAGCAGTCGACGGGGCAGTTGGCGTCCTTGATATCGGCAACTTTCGCGGCGCGGAACTGGAGCATGAGTAGAGTCTCACCGTCAAAGCTCAGGATCTGAGGGCAGGCATATTTGTAGGCATATCTGTTGTCGCAGGGTTCGGGAAAATCAGCAACCCATGTGAGTGGCCTGGATCGGCTTTGGTGTGTGTGTGTGTGTGTGTGTGCGACGCGGGAAAAGCCTTGCTCACCCTCTAAGCTCCTGCGGGAAAAGCCTTGCTCACCCTCTAAGCTCCTGCGAGAAGTTGCGCTGGGCGCCCGTGAGCCTGCCGGCCTGCCACTGGGCGGCCGTAATGAGGCACCTCTTGAACTCGCCGATGACAAGGTGGCGTCGGTTTGCCGGCTGGCCCACCAGAGACACGGAATAGCCTATGTCAACTGTCTCGTTGTGCGACACCTCGAGGTCGATGGGCTTGTCGTGGGAGGCCTGCAGCAAGTTCGGGTAGGTGGTGAAGAGAGCCAGAACGGGGTTCGAGATCTCGGTATGGAACCAGTTTATGGCGTCTTCTTCCATGCAGAGACGCCACTGGCGGGGGTTGGGCGGGTATACGGGCTGTGCGATTCTCACGGCATCATCCTCCATCTCTGGGAGCAAGATATCGTCGATGCGTGCCTCGATGGCATTGTTGTGGTTGGGGCCGAGGGTGCGTGTATGAACGTTAAGGATCGCGATGGGTGGAAATGCCTTAGACCACTTTTTGTCGCTACCGGATTCCAGGTGGGTCTGATATGTGTAGTTCGTCGGGTGCTGCCATAGCATTTTGCTGCCTCTGAGTGCCATAGTAACGAGGCAGAGTAGGGTATCACGGCTAATGCTGGTAATGTCTTCGGAAAGAATTGGATCTCTCTTTATTTTGTATTTGTCTTTTTCCTTGGATAGTATGCAAAGAAAAACAGAAGGGTTTGGCTTAGGTTGTTTGACCCTTTATAGATGGGGTAGATACTCTGGCTCTAGGCAGCAGCCCGTGCACGTGACACTACACTCAATCAGGCACTGTCCTCGCCGCTCAGCATGCTCGCCTCCTTTCTTTCTATTTAAAAACATACATGTCCATGATATGATCATGAACAAAGCGACAGCTGCCAGAGTAATACAGGTAAGATATTCTTAGACTACTTTTCCTGCTTCTTTTTTAACAGTTCCGAAATTAACCTTGGCAGTCTAGTTCACCTTTGCTGGTTCGCCCCTAAGGGCTCAGGCCGAGCGCGTCGACCGTGTCCACGCCAATGTCCTATTCATCACTCTTATCCGCTCCAAGCTTATGGAATATGTTGCCACAGGCCTGAGTCTCCTACCTGGCTTCCTCCTTCGGCCCTTGCAGCACCTGCTGCCACCCCAATTCTACCTTCCCGGCCGTCTCGTTCTCAAGACTCGTAAACCGGATTGGGGCGATGAATTTGCCAATGAAAAGGTCATGTATCAAAGACTTGAGCCGCTGCAGGGCCGCATTATGCCACGCTTCTTAGGGGATGCAGAATTTAATGGTATACCCTCGATTGTGCTGTCGCGTCTAGAGGGTTTGCCCTCATATAGGCAGGGTCCTGCAGCAATGCCGGCGGAGGATTTTGAGCGGCAGCTCAAGGTTCTTCTTCAGGAATTTACCAAGTTTGGGGTTATTTATGATGATCCAAAGCTAGATAACTTTCTGGTGGTCAAGGGAAAGGTTATGGTAGTTGATTTGGAGAGTGTATGTGAGGAAGATAAGCAGGACCAGGAGCTTGCTGTTCAATCCCATCGTCTACATATTATGCCACAGTATAGAAGGTACTTAGAAAGTCTTTCTAATCATAATAGCTAGTATTAACATTGTATTGAAAATTAGGAAATGGTATATATCGACTATTTCCTAGTCCATTCTAAAGACACGTGTTGTCTTGCCTTGCTATCTCTGGCTGACCGCTGACCTACATTATACTAGGAAAGAAGCTATCACCAACTCGACCGGCTGGACTAGCCCACGACCTTCCTATGCCGAAATCGCGCGAACGCCACCTGAAAGCCACCGAAGCAACGTGAGGACTCTCGACAATCTATACAACCAACACACAAGCTCAGGCCATCCCATCTATTGCACAATCGAAATTCTGGAAACTGAAGGCAGTGCGAATGAGAAAGTGACAGCCAAGACGATCCGAACGTTCTTTGAAGACAGTTGGAGAGAAATTACCCACAGCCCGAACACTCGACTACGAACACCATCTCATCCGTGTGGATGGCGTTCTCGCGCTGCCACGCTCGACGAAGAAGGAAACGACTTGCCAGGGGTCGCGGAAGCCTTCAGTGGAGCAAACGACACCGATGTTTTGAAGGTGACTTGGCTGAGCGATAGGCGCTTGAAAGCCGACAGTTCGTTACTTGTTGAACTGAAGAGGTCATCTGAAGCTCGCCAACACTCGTCTAATGTCATCAGTCTTGCTTGTTCCTCTGCTTTATCGGCGTGTTGTCGCTCCTTCTGTTGTCCTTTCTCTGCTTGCTTGGCACGCTTCTCTGCCTCTTGGAGAAGCTTTTTTAATTGTCTAGCATCTATCTGGAAGTTGTTGGATGTCGAACTGTACGTAGCTGATGTATCACGCCACAAACTTGACACTAGCACAGCAGATGGTTACGAACCATCGTCATCCAGCCCGCGTGAGGCAACCCGCATTATTCCCCGGCCTATGTTTCCTCCCTATAGGCACCGGCCGTTTCTGCAGAAGCCAGTGCTGTTCCCTCCTCCTCCCTCTTCCATTTCTGAGCAGCAAACCGTGTCCAGATGCATAAAACGCAAAGCCCATACGATATCAATATCATACCGCATCTCTCACGAAGAGGATCAAGTCGGCTGCGGCGGTTCGTTAAGCCTCATACTTTCCATTGAAATTGTAGACAACTTTTGAAGTAAGGGAGATGAAGTAAAAGAGGAGAATTAATAGAACTAATGCGTAAGAGGTGAATTAGAGAGGAAAATTAAGAGAATTGGCGCGTAAGAGAAGAGAGTTAAGAGAATCGGCGCGTAAGAGAAAATTGGCGCGTAAGAGAAGAGAATTAAGAGAATCGATGCGTAAGAGAAGAGAGTTAAGAGAATTGGCGCGTAAGAGAAGAGAATTAAGAGAATCGATGCGTAAGAGAAGAGAGTTAAGAGAATTGGCGCGTAAGAGAAGAGAATTAAGAGAATCGATGCGTAAGAGAAGAGAGTTAAGAGAATTGGCGCGTAAGAGAAGAGAATTAAGAGAATCGATGCGTGATAAGCGACTAGTCATGGGGAGACATCACCAGCAGCTACCCAACATCTGGGGTGCCTCAGCTCAATGTGCAGATAATTTTACAAATACGAGTACTGTACGTCTTCGTATTTCATAGTATTTCAGTCGGATATTTCTGCTAGTCTTGCCCTTTTGTGTCCTTGGCCCTCCATGATGTCCCGTACCTTGATACCAAGCTGGGATGCTTGCTTAACCACTATTACGTTTGTTCCCGTCGCCATTATCATGTCGAGACACTTACCTGGTGATGCCAGATTACGGCCATATATATCAAACAAAGAGCATTTTTGCCGCATGTACTCTGCTGCAAGTTGCTTAACTCGCGAGGGTGCATCCGCATTAATATGGACTCGGTTCGATTCCTTCAAGTTGCCATTCGAGTCAATGACAGACTTGAAAATGATACACGTTGGTGGAGAATGAGATGCTCCTTTCGCGGAATGCATAACTTTCTCTAACCGCTCTTCATCTGGAACTTTCAGTCCTCTGAAATTGAAGTGACTGTTTCCTCGTCGCCTTTGCGCCATTGGTGTAGCTGCAGTCTGTAGGTGAATCGGCACTGCAGAAGAAGCAACAGTGAGCTCTTCCGCTTGCTCTTGTAGAGAAATGACTGATCCATCATAGGCAGGGCTTTTCTCTTGAACTCTCTCTTCGTCTGCCATAAACTCGTCATACTTTTCGGCCACGATGTCGTCGAATGCCAGTCTCGAAGAGCAACTATTTCGTTCCGCCTTGGAACACTTTTGAAGCCTCGCTAGTGCAGCTTGCTCATGAGATACCTGCTGTTTGAGTTCCGTAAGTTTCTCCATTTCAATTGCCGTATCCAACTTTAGTTGCTGTAGCGTGATTGCTTCTTCCATCATCTGAATCTCGTGATCTAACCCGCTTTCAGCCTCAGGCGCATTGTTATTACCACCATCATTCTCTTGTGTGGCCACACTCGAAATGAGAATCTCCTGGCTTACAGCTGGAGACAATGTTGACTCTCCAAAATATGCTCGGTACACTGACATTCGGACGAAGAGCGAAGTGACATGGTTCCGGTTATCATCAATGTCGCTGCTGATTTTCGGTAAAAAGAGCTGGAGCTTGTCATGCGTATGGTCGGCTGCATCCGGTAGTCCATGTCTCGCGGGGTTTTTAGACCGGTTGGTGTATGATTGCGTACGTTTTGTCTCCGAAGCGACTGGGCGAGCTTTCGCAAATATGCCAACAATTTGTGTTGCGAGCTGGTCCAGGTTGTCGTATTCAAACGAACCAGGCTTTCGAGCAGCAAGAAGAGCTTCGCTGGCAATAACCCAATCAGCTGAATGCGACAAAATTTCGTGGATTTGGTCGGACTCAAACCCAAGACGCAAAGCTATAGAAGCGAGGCCATGTAAAGCACCGACATCAACCCTAGGCCGTGCCTTGGCCAGGACATTTTTTCGCTGCAATTTAGCAGGCAGATTCTCGTATTCGCGAAACGCCGCTAACCAAAGTTGTTGCATGCCCAATCTGAGACGGGTGTCGCGGTTACCGGCGATACTGCCAAAGCGTACATCGGATACTTGGACAACACACCTATCCTGGACTTGCCCAATGTCGGTAAACATGTCTGTCAGACGACGTGAAATACTATCTTTAGATTCAACACCCACGATGTTCCTCAAGCCGCACGCAACATTTTCCAGGAACTTGCGATCCTCAAAAAAAGTGAACAAGGATGGGATCAGGCATTGAGTCGAGTAGTCACATACTCTCGACCATAGTGCTTCGCGGTATTCCTCGGGAATTTCGGTGAAAAGTTTTCCACTCCTAAATAAGCTCGATAACTCATCTCGATCGACATGAGATGCGCCCGGTGCTTTGCCCTGAAGACTCTTCACAGTGCTTTTGTCAATTTGTCGCATGAGATTCGAATCCCCCTTACAAATCTCATGCCACCACTGGTAGATATGTTCTAGATACGTAATATTTTGCTACCTAGATTAGCGAACGGAGTTCCTCGTGTGAACAATAAACTTACTTGTTCACATCTCATAGATATCATGGAATTGACCACTGAGAGTCGCATACCATCAAATAGTGCTGGAATTTGCAGCAAAGTATTGAAGGCTTTGGTATATCCTCTGTGGTTATCAAGTTCTTCGAAGTTCTTCCGAAGGGGCGAAACTGCGAGTCTGCCCCTCCAAAGCTTTTCGAAAAAAGTGTTCGCTTCGCCTTGGACTCCTTGATATTCGCGGATTTTACGGTAGAACTCTCCGTCACTGGGCTCTTTCTTGTACTCGAAATCTTCCACAAGCTTTCTTTTCAGTTCAACACTAAGATCTGGGGATTTTGTCAGCTATCTGGTCATAACTCTAAAGAGGCAGCTCACCGTCTAAGAATAGATCCACATCCCAGCGTTTCTGGGAACCCTCAAGCACCTCTTCCGCCGCAGCTAAACGATCATGTCCTTGGAGACACTCAAGTGTGGTTGTAGAAGGAATTTCGAGTTTCGGATGTGGAAATGAGCTCGCTATAAGACTAGCGATGGAAATCTCCGAGCGATCAAGGGCTTTTTCTAAGTCTTCGTGACGGATAAGGACCTTGGCTCGGTATCTGCCACCGGCCTGGCACGATTCGAGCTCTTCGCGAAATAAAATTTTCAGAGACGCAACGCTTGTAGACTCTTGAACCCCAATTCGTTTTGGAAAGGAAGTGTTATATCGGATTGCGTCCAGCCGAATGCTTGCTGTTCCGCAAAACTTGGCTCGACGCTCCTCCTCGATGCGCTGGCTAGCCGTTGGCATGCTTTTGGTTCCCAAAGCCAAAGTAATATTTCGTAGTCTTCAGCAAATACACAAGCGCCACTGGACAAAGCGGTGGGGGTAGCTATCAGTAACTATATAAGCTAGGTATGACCAAAACTGGCCAAAACTGGTCAACCAAATCCAAAAGTGAGCCGTCAATTCGTGAAAAGGTTTTGTATTGCCATACACGGTACATACTGTACCGGTGAGCTGCGAGATCTGGTAACAAAAGTCGTGCTGCGGCCGAAAGCGGTGAGGTTGTTGGCGGAGCTTTCACTTCCGGGGAGTTCATAGCGCACGGCTCGAGAGACACTGTAAATTAAAATTCATAGATCGTTGCATGTGCCAATTTTCGCGGGAAGTTCACACAGACACTTGTCGTTTCCTATTTTTTTTTAGAATCATTTTGCGGACGCGAATATACAGCGTACGAGTGCCAAAGAGTCCACTACCGATAGTAAAAACCAACTTACAGAAAGGTTTGCTTCGTTCCACGACGTGATAAGTTTGCTGCTTGCGGACAGAAATGCTCGCCGTGAAATGGTCGAAAGGGCCGAAAACAGTTGCCTTCTTCACAACTGGCTCGCCACTACTATAAATTGCGGCATCAGTCCACACCAAGCAATGCTGATCAGCAATCACAATGGCCCCGCAGAAGAGAAACCAGACGGCAGACAATCAGCAAACAAAACCCAAAGAACAGAAGACAAAGCAGCGAGAGAAGAATGGCATCCCGAAAAAAAGTGACTCTGACAAGACAACAGAAACCTTGACGAAAAACCTCGAGGCCGCAGTGAATGCGTACGAAAAAGCAGATGACGGCAAAAAAGCGGAAATGCAGAATCAAGTGAATGTTCGTCAACCCCTTGATGAGCCGGATGCGATGACCGTGGACGATGAGAAGCCGCCAGTAGAGCAAAACATGAAAAAAGAGCCTGAAGAGGGCAGCATGTTCGTGTCAATGACTACCGGCGACCTGAATCATCCGTCAGAGAATGGCGAAAGCTTGCCGTCAGACCAAAAGCCGTCGTCCGACACGGAGCAGGACCTAGAGATGTCCAGTGACAACAACCACGAAAAGCGTCCAGCGCCGAAAGTCGGCTTCCAGTATGGCTTGGCAACACCCTCAACAGAGGCAGAAGACGAACTGGACTTGGTACGAGCAAATCCCGTGCGTGAGATATTCCACGACGGCGCGTCTGAAAACGTAGGCTTTGCGAGGCTCGCTTTTGGCCGTCCTTTCGACATCGAAAGACAAGGGCCACCGAACGCCGCAAGATTTAGATTCAAGCGTCATAACGATGGGTACCTGGGCAAGAGTCTCGACGATATTTCGTACGGGACCGAAAGACAGCTCAACGGCGGAAAGCTTTATCAGTGCGGTGACATGTTGTCAATCCAAGGTGTTGCCTGGCAACCTCTCAAAGGGATCGACCACTACTCGTCACTTGCGCCCCGCAATTGGAAACAGGGAAGCAGAACAGTACGGCCTCCGATGCGTATCATGGTGAAATGGATAGTCAAGGGTGAGGACGGTAAGGCTGTGGAAGATAAGAATGGGCGGAGAGTAACGGCAACGAGATGGGAAAAGCGTGATGCTGTGTGGAGGTGCTGGGAAGACGAACGAGGCCATGGAGGTGCCACAGTTCTGTGTGAGGAGGAGTTGAGACTGGGTGAAGCTGTCATTTTGGAAAAGGGAGACACCGTTTCACTTTGTGACTTTGTGATCCTCACTGCTGCCTATCGATGCGAGGAACGATTCAAGGAATGGCAATCGAAGCAGCGACCGGGGAGAGACCGCTCTCCTACTCCTGGCCTGCCTCTGTTGAATAGCAATGAGAAGCAGCCGGGTAGTGGAGAAAGCTCCGATGAGGCGCGGTCACCCCAGCATGCAAACAACCCCGAGGCTGAGGATCCCGCTGGCACTACCCACTAAGTAGTCGCTGGTCGAGGCTGCCATGGCTGGTCCAATGATGGGTGCAGTAAGCTTAGCAGAGGTGTAGAGATATATAGGTACTTGTGTCACGGGTTTCTCTTGTTTATTACAATGGATTGTATGCGCCTTTGTTGCACTGATCAAACTACACGAAACGCTCTCAAAACCGTGATGGCAGCAGCGCCAGTGGCCATCTAGCCATCTGGAGAAATATAGATAGTGGGGATTAGTTACGATGGCCGACCCTAGGCTCGCACATACAATCACCTTGCAGGGTCCATCTACGGGTTTACCGGCACGTTGCACTTTCACTGGAGCTTTATATCCACGATCTGTACATTCATTGATCTAGCGGGAAACTTGTTCGCTACCCTGCACATTCTTTTTATGAACAGCGCCGCTAGGTAGATAGGTAGGTGGCATCTCAAACTCAACATGTCGGCACTGCCTTCTCTTCGAGCGTGTCTCAGAACCGTTCTCTGTAGTTCGGCTGTCAGCTAGAGAATAGTCGAAAAAGTCCTCCATATCGCGATAGAATTTATCGTCAAATATTCTGAGCTATATAGATTTAGTTTGACAGCATACGCTTTTCATTTTGGCTGGGGACTGACGTCATGGGATGGCTGCATATCGAAGGTAGAGGCCGAGCCTCCTTGGAGTCGTGTTGGGACGGTCGACTGTATGCTACGCTCAGGGATATGAATCCTCGAATCAGTAGATTCTGGAATCATCAGTCAGTATGCGGCCTATTCTTCACGGATTTTAATAGACGAGTTCCATTTATGAAGCCATATTGAACTGGCTGCCCTGCGGGCTGCTTTGGACACAATCAGCTACCGACGGCTGGAGTGGCTTCCTTGATGGCGAGACTGTTGACCTCAATCGGCCTTAACCTGCCGCAGCCAAAATGCCACTAATGAACCGCCGAAGGGAGCGGCTTGGCGTGAGAGTGGACAGGCGGGGTGTAGACCAATGGCCGGCACCAGGAAGAAAAAATACAGCCAGGCAAGCGAACAGTCAAATCCGGCAGCGTCAATGAAAAAAGAAACCCACTGGCCATCGTCTAACCTGTCGCAAAAATCGTGCCCATGAAAAACACAATGCGCTGAGACAAGTCGGCAAAAAGAGAAGAAATTGACCGATGCAGAAATCACCAAGCGGATGAGACCAAGGGCGCCCCGTGAGGAAGGGCAGAAAAGATACATCGGTCGAGGAAGAAAGGGGAAAAACGAGACGAAGAACGGGAAGTTGACGAATTATCACACCACTAACGACATTGGCTTTCAGCAGTAGATGAATTTGGTCAAATAGTGCGCAACGTGTTCACTGGCTAACTGCTTTGGCGAATTTGGACATGTTGAATCCTACATGAAGACCATAGCGACCAACGAGCTGGTCATGAACTTGCTGCGCAAAGTCAGCTTGCGAAGTAAACAACCAAGTCCAAAGCGACATCGGGGGTCACAGCCAGCACGCTACCACAGCGTCGGGCAAAACTGGCTACGCCAAAACCGTGAACGGGGCGAAAAGCCACCTAGCATCACGTAGGCTGCCAGAAAGTGGTTGCGCCGATGCGGCAACCGTCACTGCATGCCAAGCGGTGGCTGCTCCTGTCTGACCTGCAGGCCAACCATGAGGAACCAGGCAAAGCACTCCGTTCCTTGAACCCCACGAAGGCCAGGCTGCTCCTTTGACCGTTCGCAGCACTGATGCTACGCAGTAGCGGATAGGTGCATTACTGAGCTAACTGGTGGCGTGCTATTGATGGAGACTATAGGGCTGCCTAGCCTCAGGCCACTGGGTACGGACCGTATCATCAACACCTAGCTTAGCCGCTAAACGGCGGGCGAACAGCGAGTTGCGCCCCTAACGTATTTTCTCAACACCTGAAACTAAACATCATGCGATCTATCCCATCACCTATCAGTCAGAAGTATAGTCTGTGCATTCTCTGACGGTCCGGTCCGGATGCACAGATTGCTCAGCCAGCCGTGCTGGAGGTGGCTTTTAGCAGCTGGTCATCCGCAAGAGGCTTTGCATACAAAGAGACTTACGTACAGTATTAGAATGAATATGTCGTCGGAGTTCTCTGCGTGAATTTACCGCCCCGCGACTGCTTTGAGTCACGACCGCCAACATGGCATCACTATGGATCGCCTTCGTTGGTGGCTTCGCGCACGATATTGGCAAACCAGAGCTGTTGATTTCGTTCCACGTCCGCCCTTTCTTTCCGCAAGGCTTGCAAAAGTAGAGAATGCCCGATCAGGTACCGAAGGCAACGGTTCTTCTGAGAAGCTTCTCGTCGAATCTTGCTGGCAGCCGTGCGTGCTAGGGCGTCAATCTCTGTGTAGTTCATGAATGCCGCAGCACTTAGATTACGACGGTCAATACTAGGAATAGTAGACTGGCCTGCATCCGTGAAATAGGTGGGAAGACCATCCCTCTGAATGACGTGGGTGAGTATATACCCCATATAGACATACCATTTATTGTCACTTTCGTCGCAGTCTCATTGGCTTCCTCGTTGTCTCTGAGGCTTGGTCTCCTGGTATTTAGTAGATCGACTGGAAATAGACTGCCTCGTGCATCGAATGATGTTTTTGCCTCAAAAAACGTTTGTCAACAGATTCTTTACATTCTCCCCTTCACTATCGCCACTCCTCAATATGAGAAAGTTGTGACGGCTATTGTCACAAACACCGTAACGATTTGTCCTATGTCTGGGACCTGGTCCGGTAGCACAAGGTAAACACACATTTACAGGGGCGAAAAGGACGCGGACTTCTCACATTCATAGAACTGCCTACACAATCGTCTCCGACACTCCTGCTACGATCAAAACAACCATTGCAAGCGGTGAACCCGAGCGATTGCAATGGTCCCACGCTACGTCCCCTGCCAGTCAAGTGCCATCCACCGCTGCGGACACGGTCATGACAAGTACCCACTGGGCCACCGCAACTGTTTTTAACATTCTGGAGAAGAATGATACTAGTGACAGAGTACCCGAACCTACCAGTATCGCCATGTGTCTTGGCCATGAGCACAACTCCATGTTGGCTTC